CGGCGGCCCCCCCCCGAGCCGCTGCGGGGCTCGGGGTGGACGCAGCGCCCGCTGTCCCCAGAGCTCTGCGTCCACGGCCGTGGGGCGACGACCAGGGGACCTGGGGAGGGAGCAGCATAGGCTCATCCCGCCCGTCTCTCAGCAGTTAACTGAGTGGGTGCAATTAAATGCGCTCGTGCATGTGCTGGGAACTTCATTACACAAGTTTTAGTCTATGTATAAATGGGCAACGGTAATCTCCAGATGGCCACCTAACCCAATTTAGATCTCCACTGTGTTATTTCTCTTTGACTAGGAAGCCCAGGGCAACCAAAAGGCCTCATTCAAGAGCCTAAAATTAGGTGGGAAATAAAAAATTAAAAGGTTTATTTTCAAAATATTCCACAAACCCACATTTTTTCCCAACTAATAAATTCCTCTTGTGAGTGACACACTTCTTGACTCAAAAGCTAAGAGCTGAACCTGTCTCCTCGCTATTCCCAGCTCTACCGAGCCATGGTAGTTCATAGTCGTGTGAATCACATTTTGTACCCAGCACGAGCCAGGAGAAGGGTCCCCTGTGCGCCGGCGCGTCGCAGCTGGCAGGATCAGCTCCCGGGGCTGTGCGACAGCGGGCAATTCTTAGATTTTATTCTGTAACAGTGAAATCCTACACACCGCTTTAAAGGCACCCATTTCTTTCTCAGGTCTACGAAGGTTATGGCCAAACAGAGTGCACAGCTGGATGCACCTTTACAACCCCAGGCGACTGGACATCAGGTAACGATTTTCTTCCACCATTTCCATAAAGAAAAGAAATGCACATTTCTTTAGAAAATCCTGGACTGGACCATCACAGGTTGTTACGCAACATTCACCACTGTGTGAATAGTTTTCCGCGACTGTAATGTTCTTGAACGTACCTCTAGTCCAGGATGAATACAGAGGGATCAGATGTTGGGCGCATTTCCCTGGGGAGATCTGGAATTGCCCCTCCAGCTGTTATTTGCAACACTCTCGTCTCCGCGCTCCCGGGCTGGGACTCCTCTCTAGAGCGCTGGAGGTGAATTTAAAAGAACGTTTGTTATAATGAAATGCTGGCACAAAGAAAAGATTAATACATTCCTGTACTTAGGGAGCAAACTCAAGCTTCAATGACAGACCCATCACTACGTGTGAGAAAAAGATGCTCAATACTTTATGTTTTTCAGGCTTTCAAGATTTTTGAATCTTGACAAAGATAAAAAAATGCTCACTAAGTGGGATTCACATAGTACATGCAAGTACTGTGGTTTAATTTCTTCTCAGTATAATTCATCGGTATTTATAAAAATGTTTTGAAATGGGTATCACATTAATTCAAATGAACACCAGCAGGATGCCTGGTGATCGGCTGCTAATGGGTCCGGGCGGTTCAACATTTCCTTCTTCCCAGTGCAGATTTTCTGTGGCTGGAGAAGAGCAGTTGCTTGCTCCTCCCAGCACAAGTGCCCATCTCGTTGGTTTCCTTCAAACCCAGAGCAGCCCCTCGCTGGTGTGTCCTGGGGCTCGCTGCCCAGGGCCCCCTGAATGCAAGTTCTTGTTCAGAGGAGAGATGACGAGTGACTTTATAACTTTGATTTCCAGGTCATGTCGGAGCCCCTTTGCCCTGTAACTTAATCAGATTGAAGGATGTGGAAGAGCTGAATTATTTTGCTTCCAAAGGAGAGGGAGAGGTAGCAACTCACACTTTTTATATCAAACTCTCTCTAGCTGGCTCTGTGTTAAGCTGTAGTTACAGAAGCATTTTACCTTTGTAAGGCGCATGACCGCAGATGTGCTGCATACACAATTGGGAAAGGAAAACGCCAATTCAGCAGTAGAGCAGCAAAGCGTTAATTAAAAAGGGGCTGTGGCAGTACTTGCAGCCAATGCCATGCCTGATTACTTTAAAAGCTAAGACTGAATTAATTAGGTTAGCTAAGAAGAGCTGAATTGCTGTGATTTCTACAGAGTTGTTATTTCTCTCTTGCACAGAAATTAAACTTATTGAAATAACTTTTTTTAACTGCAAGCTGAATGCAAAATAACTTCACACAAATCAGTTTTGCATTCCCTACTTCATACTTCCATTAGTTTGAAAAAACTCCATAGGTAATTTTATCAAACAATATATTTGAGTTCCATGGAGCACAGTCATTAAGTTAACGCTTGAAATATTTCAATTCTAGTGAATTACTATTTAGCTTGTTAGTGTTTACAGCGGCGTAGTAAAATAATTTATCAGCAACTCTGTCTGTTCTGCAGATCTGTGTGAAAGGACCAAACGTCTTCAAAGGTTATCTGAAAGATAAAGAGAAGACAACCGAAGCGCTGGACCAGGAGGGCTGGCTTCACACTGGAGACATCGGGAAGTGGCTACCTGTGCGTACCGGTCGGATGCTTGCTTCTCACGTCACTTGTACTGCCCCATGTAAATTTTCAAGTACTGAACTTAAATTTCCTAGCAGATCTATCTTAGAAGGGATTGAGTTTCTATGTTGCAAAACAAGATCAACGTGTCCTTGAAGCATTTTCTAGCAATTTAAAGAGCTCTGTTGAAAGCAGACTGCTTACTGAGTCTCTATGGTGAAATAACTTCTCTGGGAACTCTCCTTTGTTTCTCCTAACAGAATGGGACTCTTAAAATCATTGATCGGAAAAAGCATATATTTAAACTTGCTCAGGGAGAATATATTGCACCAGAGAAGATTGAGAATATCTACATCCGCAGTGACCCTGTTGCCCAGGTCTACGTCCATGGAGACAGCCTGCAGGTAAAAACTAAATATTCACAAAATCTTGCTTTATTCTTTGTAAGCAGCAGACAGAGGGCTGGGCGTGACCGAGGGGAAGGCGTGAGTGGGTCACGCCGCCCCCGGGGGGGCCGCCTGCCAGCCCCGCCGGAGCTGCGCTGCTGGTGGGACCCTCAGCGCCTTGGAGGATGTTGCGGCCAGAGATCAAGCCTTTAGTTTTGCTTCAGCGTCACCCTTCGGGTCTCTGATGCTCTGCTTTGCCATGTTTCCTGCTGCACGCCAGACGAAGGCAAAGCCACCGCTCCTTCGCAACCCATTTTGACCAATCTTGTCCCGTTTATTCCCTTATCTATACAAACACGTAGAGCTTCTGAATTGCAATTCATCCCTCTACATTCATCGGTCATGAGGCTTCCCTCGGCACCAATGTTTGCATGATATGAGCTATGTTCAGCTCTGACTTCTGCCTGTGAAAATTTTAAGTAATTTAATTAATGTCCAATTAAGTAATTTAATTAATGTCCTTCCTTCCACTGGGAAGAAGGAAATGTTGAACCGCCCGGACCCACTGGCAGCCGATGTCCAGGCATCCTGCTGGTGTTCATTTGAATTAATGTGATACCCATTTCAAAATGTCCAAGTAATTTAATTAATGTCCAAAGGACCAATTAAGGTCCTTTCACGCAGATCTGCAGAACAGTCAGAGTTGCTGATAAATTATTTTACTACGCCGCTGTAAATACTAACAAGCTAAATAGTAATTCACTAAAATTGGGTCCACAGACCCAACCGAAGGTGTTAAAATTGCTGGCAAACGCAGGAACAGCCACAGAGAACCATTTTATCTGAGGAGAAGGCACAGACAACAAAATATATGTCACTGTGACACGCTAGCATATTCTTGACATAATGAAACAAGAAGTGACAAACATGTAGCAGATTCAGCCAGTTTACGTATCCACTCCAACGCTGGGCCTTAAATGTTGCTCAGCTTCTGCCTGCAGCTCTCCTTCTCCTTCGCCTGCAGGCCTTTCTGGTGGGAATCGTGGTGCCCGACTCCGAAGTCATGCCAGGCTGGGCGAAGAAAAGAGGGTTTGACGGGACGTATGCAGAGCTCTGTAAGAATAAGGTTTGTCTTTCTACCTGCAGTACGGACGCTTTTTCACTGTAGCATAACGTAGGTGTCTATTATTAACGATCTCAGTGACAAGAGTTATTATTTCCTCACTGAAAATGAAGCAGGGTTGGCCTGGACACAGGGGCGTGTGCTGGCTGATGGTACAGACCTCTGCAAGCCCCGGCTTGGGGCGGGTTGCGGGGGGGGGGGGGGGCTGTGTGTTGACCGGGCA